ACAAACACCGTTGTCCCCTTTTGAATTTTATTTAGGGGGGGTCTAAATATATACCATTAAATAACATTTACAATGTTCTAATCTCAACTTGAAATACTTTTTTAGTTCTATTCTCCTGATTTAATTTAAAATACCGGTTAATTAAACAAACAACAGTACTCATGTTTTTTTTCATTTTCTCATATCCCTTGGACATTGCCTTTGGGAGTTGTACACTTCGAATTTTTAAGAGTTCTCTTTCATAATTAATCTGCAATGAAAAATTATCCATGTGTAGCATTTTATAGTGCATGGAAAGCCATGTACTATGAAAAATAGAAATTAAATACTGATTTTCCATTGGACGAGAATGGGTGAGTATGTTCTAACTTTAACTTGACTCTCTAACTAATTGATATTTTAAAACCATGTTAACCTTGCGGCTACCAACTTATCCTATACGATTGTCTATTGTGTATATATAAAGGTACAAGCCCAGTGTGTCCGTTGTACCGATGCGTATCATATGTTCATTTATTTATATAAATAAGACATTTAAATTGCAACCCATTGGTAGCCGAGTGGTTTCGTCGATGTGTTGATGTCAGTCACACACAACAGATTTCAAGGAGGGGTTCGATTCATAGTGAAGGCATATGAAAATTACAAATAATGATAAGTTTTTAAATTAATTCCATTAGTGAAGAGAAATCAGTAAATTGGCCAATTCAAACTTAATGAAATTAGGCACACAACAAAACAATTGAATATAATTTGGTGAGTCTATTTAAGCGACAGATTTAGGAAGCGTTGATTCTAGAAAAAGAATCCACGGTAAATGAATAGGCTGACGACACGACAATGGTTTAATTATAGGTTAGATAATACTCAGGACATGTTTTATGAATATTCAAAGCCCAAGGCGTAGCTGAGGGTTTTAAATCTTCATAAAACATGACCAAGTATTGTCTGACCAATTTAGAACATATTCACACCTTCGAGTGACATAACAAAATTAGCCTCTCATTGTAATAATCAAACTTTGATATTAGCTCACTTTAAGTGTTAACATGTTTAGTAAAAGGAATGTAAATTGTTTAATGGTCATTTCAACAGATGGAATGAAAGAGCAATGAGATAGTTTTGTGATAGCAAACAAGGATAAATTATTCAAAAATGGAGATTTCCTCTGCTTCATGTACAATTTAATCTTGCATATCTAAAATTCCGTCATTTTAAAAAAGCACAAATTGTTATATAAATCAGCTTTTCTAAAATTGTATAGTTTTTAATAAGGACAAAACTTCATAAATAAATTTTAATTTACAATCGTTTCAATATCACATGCTTGTTTTTTATTGATGAATGTATTGATTTTTTTCAAAAACTGTCTTTATTTTTTTTTATCAACAGTCATTGTTTCTTAAAACATTGAGTTTGAGGTTTGGTACAAAAATTTGATTAAATATTACATGTATTTTACGAACACCTTTGTCCCCTTTTGAATTTTATTTAGGGGGGGGTCTAAATATATACCATTAAATAACATTTACAATGTTCAAATCTCAACTTGAAATATTTTTTTAGTTCTTTTCTCCTGATTTGATTTATAATACCGGTTAATTAAACAAACAATAGTACTTATGTTTTTTTTCTTCATTTTCTCTTATCCCTTGGACATTGCCTTGGGGAGTTGTACACTCCTACAATAGTCAGCTAATAAAAAATATTTGTGGATATGCACATCTACATAGTATGTCCTTATTTACTACAAAGCTTTATGAAATTCTGTTGTGTGGTTTCAGAGGAGTAGCGTTGACAAACTGTTGCAGTAGTATATTTAGGTCCAAACTCTTAAGTTCAAATTGGCATAACTTCTAGAAAAAACATGGAATCATATTTTCCTGTCGATATGCACATCTACATGGTATGTCCCAATTATCTGCAAAGTTTCATGAAATTTGTTGTACGGTTTCAATGCAGTTGTGATGACAAACTGTTGCAGTAGTATATCATTGCCAAAATTCCAAGTTCAAAGGGGCATAACTTTTGGAAAAAGCTTTGTTGCGTTGGGTATAAAATAGTTTCAAAGCTATAGGTTATTAAGAAAACTCCGATAGAAACACAAAATTCCACTGACAACGAATGTGACAGTCGGATAATGTACCAGGTGCTTTTAAATGGCTCACGAGTTCAGACATAAATTTTATAAATTTTGTGCAAGACTGGTGGATGTTAACAATAAATAAAGGCAATTGCATAATCATATGACTAATAGGTCTTCAGAGAGTTAGTATTAGCCTTCATTTTTTTTTATTTAACCGGACCATGACACACACAAGGACACACACTATTAAAGATCTGCCATCAACACCAAGTTCTGTAAAAACATTTAGTTATGATAACTTAAGACAGCCAAGTAATTTAGAGATAACTGTATTGTATTTGAAGCTTTGAGGACGTCCATCGGTAGTTTTACTGTAGCAAATTTATTTTACCTGGCGACGCGTAGCGGAGACAGGTAAACGGTTATTTGCGGACGTCCGCAAAGCTTCAAATTGGCTTATTATTGGAGACATTACATGTCAATACATTCCGGAATTCAAAATGTCGGCTTCCTTAGTTACAGACAGGGAGATAGAGAATTCTACGCTTATTGTCATCCAATCAGAACCATTGATACATAATAATTGCATTAGAATAATAAATGTCGGTGAATAAATTTTCAAGTGTGGATCCAACAGAGTGCCTGTGTCGTATAAAATTCCTGCAATGTTGCTGAAAAGATATTTTAAAATATTTTCCATAGAGTTTATAATCTAATCAATATTCCATAGATTCATAACTGTAAAGGAACATGAAACGCTGCGATGAGAGGAGAAATGGTAGTTCCTATTGAAATACAATTAATTGACGGTACTCTGTATCTCCAACGCGAACATAAATAATTATAATCAAGAAATGAAAGAAAATAGGTAACAGCGGTCCTGTGTATGTTTAATTAGTGCATTTTTTACAAGTTTAATTACAAAATAAAGATTTTAAACGAGTACAACTACATCTATACACCCTGATTTATCTCGTTTTTAATAAGTTAAATTTCTGTTTCAAAGATTACTGTATGTCGGTGTGTCGTATACAGATCTAAAGTTAATAACTGTCAACGGGATCAATAACGCTTAATAATATGATTAAGAGCACTAATCAGCTGTACAAGAATAGAAGTATCTATAGTCAAACATTAATTGAATTTAAAGTCGGGTATACATATAACAATACAACATTAGCTCTGTAGAGTTTTTAACAAATGCAATATAAAACGAAAGTTATAAAGATTTCTTGTATCATGCAGAAAGCCACTACAATGTGGAACCGTGTTATGTTCAGTAGCAGCTTTCAGTTCAGTATTGTTCGAAATTTGTTCATCTACGATCTTTCCTTTAGTAGAATTAGAAGGTGTGAACGTACTAGAAATTGTAATATCAGTGTATTTGATAATACTTTAGAACTTGCATCAAATAACGAAAACGTCGAATGCTGCTTTGTTAGCTGGTACAAACACAAAATGCTTTCCGAAAGTATCTAATTTTTATAAGCTTGTATCTTAATAAACAAACTTGAAGATCACAAACTTATTTTTTTTTTTGGGGGGGGGGGGGGGGGGGGGGGATTTAATAGACCCGTATATGAGAGTGTGAGAATGCTTGATTTCTACGTTTTTGGACGTTTTTATCCGTATCTTTGATTCTTCACATATCGGGTTAACGAAAAGTGTTTACTTAAAATAACAAACAAGCTGATAATGTGGTTGTCTTCCATTTGCAAAGATGTGAATGATTACCAACGAGACAACAAATGAGTTAGTTTATTCTTAGTATTTTCTGTCCTTTAGGGAAATTGATGTTGATGGAAGGTATTTAGTGATATCTTACTGTTACTTGTCTAGACACAGAGCGATTAAGAGCTTAACAAAATAGTATTATCAATTGTTGAATACCACATTTCTACAACGTACCTATATATGTCCCTTTCGTGCTAATTTGTGGCTGGGAAGCTCTTTAGTTGACTGATATTCAACATCTATTTTTATAAATATATTATCTCTTTCTCATATGGAAATCTCTTATTTTAACGGCGTTCATCTCCGTCTTTATAAAAATGAAATTAATGTGTTTCATTAAAAAAAAAATAACGATCCGCTCAATAACAAAGTGTCCTCAAAATTACTGTTTTACCCTAATTTTCATTTTTTTGCACCTATACTGAATTTCAAAATGTAAATTTGTGCAAAATTACATCACTAATATTATAAGTTAAGTAACAAGAAGTGTTATTTGTTGTATGACAAAGCAATTTGTCCTTTCATTTCATTTGTAAATAGGCTTTTTATTGCTTTACTGTTTTACATTGGAAACTAATTGATGGTCAAAGGAATAATTGTTATTGAAAAAAGACATGAAGCGAAAATTTAATTAATATTTCCAAAAAATCTTATCTTTCAAAATAATTGTTACAGATTGTTTGAAGATGTTTATATTCCTCCCTTAGGAACAAAAATGGTGTTCTTGTGCAGCACTGAATAAATGCTATAAATTGATGAAATATTGATGAAGGTTTAATAAGGACACTTTATACGTCTCGATCGATGCATGACTCATACCCAGATTCCAATGCACGCGCGATTCATATCTGATGCTGGTTATCAATCAATATCAACAATTAGGTTCACTTCCTTATAAAAAAAATAATACTAAAAACAAATAAAAGATTTCACCACCATGCTTCATATTAATAATCTTTAATGAAAAAAGTCAGGTAAGTTCTATAGGTGATTCACTCGAATTTCAGCTTACAAGATACATATATAGTGTACTATAATTGGAAAACGAAGAACTGATAAATTCCATATGGGAATTTCATTAACTATGGAGACTTACTAATATGACTCATGTGTAAAAACATCAGGTATTCTTTTTCAATTGAATAAAATGATATAAGATCTATGAATGATATATGCTTACCTGTGTATTTCTGAATGAAGAACGGGAGGGATGTAGTCCCATGGAAACCAACTGTGTACGTTGCCAAAAAGAAAAACTGGACTAAATCCCACTTGGCACTGTACTCCTGTTGTTCTAATCCTAGATCGTTCATATTTACACAATAGCTACTGGACTATAAAATCGTGGCAATGTAAGAATTTAATGGAACGAACAATACGCATGCTCCAGTATCAGATATACGACTGGAAGGCTTGAGTTAAAACTCTGCTAATTCCATTCTTTCACTTTAAGGATCCAGAGATGAATAAATAGTTAAGCTGTGAATGTCAATGAACGATATTTTGATTAAATTTTTTATTTGACTGCTTACTAATTAGATATGTAATGATTTTCTCTACATGAATATAAAAAAAAATCCATCGATTCCACACTGATAAATACAAAACTTCTATTTTGCCTATAATAGATTTTTAAAGATAAGCACTGCTTGCTAGAATATTGAACCGTTTAAGGATAAATTTATATGTTTAAACTTTTTTTCCGGTCAGAACAAAACGAAATTTCGAAGCAATCATCTGATTTTATCGACTGGAAAATCAGTATGGGAATGTTCTACTTGTTATTAGCTTCATTGAGGGAAGCAAAAAAATAAAAATTTTCTTTGATTTCTTAATGATATATAGGAAATGAGAGGTGAATTATATTTATTGCTGTAAGCCATTTTCTAATGACAAATTGTCGCCCTGAAGGAAAAAAAGAGTTACAGCCTACGAGAACAACAAAGAACTTGCATAATAAAAGAACATAGAGATTTCAAAAGAAAAAAAAATGGTATTAGATCGGACATTATCCCATCTGTATTTCATCTTTAACAATATAGAAAAGAAGTAAAAATCACGTTTTCTTTAAATTAAATCAAGAACCGTTGATTCATTAGAGGAGGTCGTGAATACATTTTTTTTTATTTCACCCTTTATATTGTGTATATTGTCTGATGTAAATAAACCCCGTATCACTCAATCTGAATATTGTCTAGTGACAAAGTGACAATCTACCCCGTATAACTCTATTAATATGGATAATGTCTGATGACAATCTACCCCGTATCACTCTATCATTTTTGATATTGTCTGATGACAATCTACCCCGTATCACTCTATCATTTTGGATATTGTCTGATGACAATATACCCCGTATCACTCTATCATTTTGGATAGTTTCTGGTGACAATCTACCCCGTTTCACTCTGTCATTTTGGATATTGTCTGATGACAATCCACCCCCATTTCACTCTAACAGTTTGGATATTTTCTGGTGACAACCTACCACGTATCACTCTATCATTTTGGATATTGTCTGATGACAATCTACCCCGTATCACTCTTATCATTTTGGATAGTGTCTGTTGACAATCTACCCCGTTTCACTCCGTCATTTTGGATATTGTCTGAAGACAATCTACCCCCATTTCACTCTACCTGTTTGGATATTGTCTGGTGTCAATCCACCCCGTATCACTTTACCATTGTGGATATTGTCTGGTGTCAATCTACCCCGTATCACTCTATTATTTTGGATACTAACTGGTGATAATCTACCCCGTATCACTTCATCATTTTGTATTTTGTCTGGTGACAATCTATCCCGTATCACTGTATCATTTTGAATATTGTCTGGTGACAATCTACTATTTAGGATTCTGTCTATGTACATCTAAACATTATAGAAAAAATATCAAAAAAGGAGATGTTGTTTGATAGCCGAGAAACTATCCAGCAGAGGTTAATTCATTTTTCATTTATTCTAGATATGAATTTCCATTTCCAGTTAAACTACCGTTGAAGTTGCAAATGATATGAATCGGAAGAGATGTGTGGTACAAATCTACGAGATGGCTACCTAACGACACAAATAACCAAAACACATCTGGTTTACCTCAGTATGTAGGATCAGCCGTCTCTGTAATCTTTATGATAATTCTGTATTGTATCTACTCTGTCTACCAGTCTTATAGTGTACGTAGACAAGATTTCTACATACGCAGATTAAATATTATCAGCTACCTGTCACCAATAAACACCATTATTTGATACGTGTATAAAGAAAAATGAAGTTGAAACTGAACAGACAAACTAGATGAAACATTGTCTATGGTATTCACGACTTTCTAAACGAAATTTTATTTCAGACGTGTGCAGATTTCTTTGTTATTTTCTGTTTATCTTATCATATCATATATCAAACTTTCAAACAGCAGAGTTTTCCCAAAATGAGATATTTTGGATATTGTCTGGTGATAATTTACCCCGTATCACTCTATCATTTTGGAAATTGTCTGATGACAATCTACCCCGTATCACTCTACCATTTTGGATAGTGTCTGGTGACAATCTACCCCGTTTCACTCTGTCATTTTGGATATTGTCTGATGACAAGCTACCCCCATTTCACTCTACCAGTTTGGATATTGTCTGGTGACAACCTACCCCGTATCACTCTATCATTTTGGATATTGTCTAATGACAATCTACCCCGTATCACTCTATCATTTTGGATATTGTCTGATGACAATCTACCCCGTATCACTCTATCATTTTGGATAGTGTCTGGTGACAATCTACCTCGTTTCACTCCGTCATTTTGGATATTGTCTGATGACAATCTACCCCCATTTCACTCTACCTGTTTGGATATTGTCTGGTGTCAATCTACCCCGTGTCATGCATCAGAAAGCAGTCTTGTTCAAAATAATGAATTCTCGAACATTCGTTTCTTATCTGTAGAGCATTTGTAGCTTTATGAGACAAATATGGCATAAAATTCAAAAAAATAACCAATATGTTAAAAAAACAGCGCTTTTATTGATGTTCTTCATATTGACAGTTGTTGAAAGGTCTTTTAAAATCGTCGAACTTAAGAGCCATACATAACAACTATATATAAAAAATACAAACAATTATTGTATGTGATAACACTTAAAACCTGATTAGGATTTTTCAGTAAATTGAATAACTAATAAAATTGAGAATGGAAATGGGGAATGTGTCAAAGAGACAACAACCCGACCACAGAACAGACAACAGCAGAAGGCCACCAACAGGTCTTCAATGCAGCGAGAAATTCCCGCACCCGGAGGCGTCCTTCAGCTGGCCCCTAAACAAATATATATACTAGTTCAGTGATAATGAACGCCATACTAAACTCCAAATTGTACACAAGAAACTAAAATTAAAAATAATAAACCTAAATTGTCAGCCTTTGTTGTTGATTATGTACATTGTATATCTATTTCATTATTCTTTATAAATGTTATGGATTGGGTTTACAGAATAGAGATTAATGGGCAAAAAAAAAAGAATAGAGAACATATACTAAAGAAAATGATATAGATAAAAATGGACAATAAAAAATAAAGACTATAGAAAAGTAGTATAAAAAATTTAAAAAGACAGAAATGAGGACTCCCCTTTCCAGACCCTCCTTTATCAATATCGTTGATCATATCTTTAAAAGACTGGTATAGATTTTCCTGTTTGTTCAGTGTTGTCAATTTTAGAAGATTTAAATTTGTTGGTTGGTTGTTTTACTTGAGGCTCATATATACTATTAGTATTGTTGCGTGTACATCTTTATACTTTCATATACATATATACTATTAAACGAGAAGACCTCATTTTGTGTGTCGCTTCTCTTCCTTCCACAATAAATAAATCATCATGCCTTTGTGTCCTATAGGTACCTTGCATAGTCTCATTTGTCATCTATTCTTATGATTATTCAGTTTGGGTTATTTTGGGAGAAAAAAGAAAATAAAGACGTCCGGATATTGTTTCCGTCACCAGACCGACTTTTAAGTCATAGACAAGACTTCCGATTTTAAACTTTCAAATAATTTTCATAAGTCCTCGTAACCCGAATAATTCAGTCCCTCCCCGTGATCGACTCTCCCACTCGCGAGTTAATGTAGCCATCGTAGAGCAGTGGAATATAACGACTGAATTATTCGGGTTAAAGTCCTCGGTGACAGGACAATCATTATCGCGTTTATCTGCATGTATACTATGATTGTACTACTATAATATATAGAGACTCTGTATATATTACAGCAGTGATCGCCGTGGAGAAGAAACTTGGAATTGATAGTTAATAGCAAATACACTTTATTTATAATATACGTATGTTCATAGGACTTCATAGTATACAGAAACCGAAAATAATGGAATTCAACAGAAAATAAAAATAACGGACTTTGGAAAAAAGAGAGAGGGCTTAAAAATATTGTCCTGTCTCCTAGAGTACCTATGACTTTTGATACCTTTTCTGAAATTCTCCAGACATAACAGTGGCGGATCCAGAAATTTTCATAAAGGGGGGGGGGGGGGGGGGGCACTGACTGCCTAAGAGGGGAAAAACCCTCTAAATCCGCCTCCTCGTGTAATCTTTTACAAAAATTCATCCTACAACAGTTTACATACTTTCAACCAAGCTCTAAATGCCCGCGATTTCGCGGGTGTGTTCTAGTATATATTTATTTTGAGTCATATTTTCCAATCAATGATAATCATCACGGTTGTTGCAAGATTCAGTTGTTTAAAATGTATACGTTGACCTTCTTTGTATTAAAGTACATTCAAACATAGCCAGTCTAATGTGCTTACCTACAAACAGAATGAGGAGGCAGATCTTATTTACGTCAACTGAAGTACTACTAGTATATGTATCCGCCATCCAAGTGATGTGATAAAATGTATAAGAAGAAGGTGTCTGAAGTCCAAATAACTTTGTCAGTAAATCAATTTGTCTATGATATAAAATATAGGATTACTAACGTTTAAACACTTTTAAATAATTTGCTAACAATTGTTTTATTGATGGATCAGAAGATTTTAAAATAGACTTTTTTTACCACAAAAAGTGTGAAATTATAAGGTGGATCATCAGTTTATATTTTTTTAAACTTTACCAAAATGAACATTTCACCGTGCTTTTCACAAAATAAAATAAAAAGTATGGGTCACTGTGCTATATTCCAAGCTACAAGTCGTTCAAAATCACCCAATTTTGCATAGATTATTCATGAAAAAAAGCTTTTTTTGGAGCATAAAAAAAATCTATATGAGACAGAATTTTGAAATGAAATATGAGAGGAAAGGTTTTAAGATATGCGTTAAGAAAATATAAAGAAAAAATGATGTCACCGAACTTGTTTTCTTGCTACAAGTAAAAAACGAAAAATTTCTTTAACATTCCTTTATAGAATTTCTACTATTAGAGTTATTTCCTTTATGATATGCGTTAAGAAAATATAAAGAAAAAATGATGTCACCGAACTTGTTTTCTTGCTACAAGTAAAA